ATACTTGAAAAAATGTAATAGTCCAAGTTCAACATAAACGTGGGTGGAGTTAAACTGACTTTAGTGAGACAGAAGTTCAATAGAGAATCACAGTACTAAAAAAATTAAGAGAACTATCTTCCCCCTCCTTTAAAGATTATTGATCATTTAATGATAGCTAAATCTAATCACTAGCCACATTATTATCTCACTTACATACTTTATGTTTATAAGCATCAACATAGTTTTATTTAATTATTTTAAATTCATCAGTTGAAAAAAAATTATCCTTCATTATGATCATCACCTAAATACAAATTAGCTATTTTTATTCTATTGAAGGTTTCCAGTATTAAGAAAATATAGGTCATTAAAATAGTGGATAATTTCACTCTTTCTATTTTCGATGTAATTTAATAAAACTAATGAATACAATGGTGAATATTATGACTAGTGGTCGACTGTTATGACTGTTGCGCCGTTTGTTTTATCTGGTTGTTTAATGGTTGAATTCATGAGTCAATTGAAACTAGACCATCATGGAAAACCTGAAAGCACTGGACGGTCGTTTGGCCCTAGTACGGGACTCCATGGAAGTGCGCATCCACGATCCCGCCTTGCGAGATTCGAATCCGGGACCTATCAGTCTCACCGGAGCGCTTAGCCATTAGACCACTGAGCCGGTATTCAAAGGTGTTAATGACTAACTTCAACCAATCCACGAAGTTGCGTCACCGTCCACCATTGTCATCAGTGAGTCACTATCTCAAAGCATACGCGGTTGAACTCCACTGGTTACAGCTTCTCACTAGAACTCGAGGAAATACTTCTTGGAGACCGTCATCAGTGAACATATAATGATTACAATCATAGAGGGATTTTGTGGATATCATAGTAATTTAATGGTTGGATTCATGAGTCGATTGAAGCTAGAACACTGCTGAGGAGTTCCATGCTAAGACGAGACGGCCATCCAGTGCTTCCAGGTTTTCCATGGTGGTCTAGCTTCAATTGACTCATGAATTCAACCATGAAATTGGTATAATATCCACAAAATCCCTCTCTGATTATATTATTTGGTTGTTACTAATTGTTATGTCGGAATCGCTTATCACTTAAACTTCTAAAACGAAAAACCACTGCAATTCCTATGACGCGAAGTAAGAACACTAAGACTGGTACAAGTGAAGATTTATTAACCCCAAAACACGACAAATTTAGTGGAAAATATACTCATTATTTATATATTGTTTTGTACACCCATTTTGGCTAATGATTAGGATGAAATCATATATATGAAAAACAATAAGAGTTCTAAAAAATCACATTCTACATGTCATGCTGAGCATAGTCCATGTTAATTCAATACAAGAATATCTTATGTTATACAGAATAAGATATCATACGGGAAAATAAAACAAATACTACACAGATTAATTATCACATTCAATTAAAAACAGAAGTAATGTTGAACAAAAGTCACAATGAGTAAAATGTCTTAAAATATTAACAGATGAACATATTTCAGAAGAGACCAATTAGTTCTAGATCTTAGCATCATTAATAAGTAAGTAAAAATCCCCTGACACTTCTAGATATTTTGAAATAAAGACTTAATGTACGGATGGTAGTTATTTAAAGATCTTCAAATTCTGATGATATTTACAAATGTGATTAGTATTTCCGACGTTAGAGTTGAGATAGGAACATTACAACTATCAGTTAATAACAAATATTAGATTTTTTAAAAAGTGTCCAGATAATATTTTAGAATATTTATTTAGTTTCTTGTAATCGTCAAGGAACTGGTACCTGGAACAGAAAAAAACACTGAGATTTTACAATGCAAAAGAAAGAGGAAGTATTGTGTTACATAAAAAAACTATACTGAGCTAAAATACGATCTCCAGTTTTAATCCCATTATGACACATCTAAAATTGACAATGGAATATTTGAACTATGTCAGTTTATGATGAATAACAGGTTTATGAGAGCAATTCACATGATAAATAATTACATTAATCTAGTTTATAATTGATTCATTTCTAAACTTTGTAAGTCTTTCTATGCTTCTGTGATGCATCCGAGTGTAACAACTTGAAGTGGTAAAATTCTGAAATACATATGTTACTTTAACTCCTTTGTATTTGTTAGTTGGATCTTCCCATTGATGTTTAGAACTGTAGTTGATTGATCTCTTTCGAGTCCCAGAGTGAAAATTAACTCTAAGTTTCAGGTACAGTGTGGTGTTTGTATGAACTAATGATTCTTTTGTACTTGATGACTGCTTGGTTTTGAATTCTAAATATAATACGTTTGTTTGTACTCACCTAGTTCTACGTGCCATAAACTGCACTATTTCTTGGATTCCTAGTTCGTACAATAATTCAAATACTTCTAATCATCACATAAATCCGGTTAACGAGTCCCAAATAAGATGAGACATGCATTCTGGGTTCCACTACTAGTCACCATTCATCTCTGCTTATAATACATTATACTTTGTTCTGCTTGTGTTTAACAATCGAAATTTTTCATCCTTCACTGAATTTAAGTAGGATTAATTAACTTGAAAGTATTTAGAGTTAACACAATAATAAAATTAACTTTGATATAAAGTTTTGTTGTGTGTCGGTGTGACTTTAAGTGTAATTATGGCACAAATTACTTCTTAAAATTTAATTGTGTTAATAGTGGTGTTAACTCTAAATACTTAGTTCTATTAAATTTTCATGAAAGATGCCAATTTTTGACTATTAAACACAGAAACAAAACAAAGTATAATATATTATAAGCAGAGATGAATGGTGACTAGTAGTGGAACCCAGAATGCATGTCTCATCTTATTTGGGACTCGTTAACCGGATTTATGTGATGATTAGAAGTATTTGAATTATTGTACGAACTAGGAATCCAAGAAATAGTGCAGTTTATGGCACGTAGAACTAGGTGAGTACAAACAAACGTATTATATTTAGAATTCAAAACCAAGCAGTCATCAAGTACAAAAGAATCATTAGTTCATACAAACACCACACTGTACCTGAAACTTAGAGTTGATTTTCACTCTGGGACTCGAAAGAGATCAATCAACTACAGTTCTAAACATCAATGGGAAGATTCAACTAACAAATACAAAGCAGTTCAAGTGCTATGTTTGACGCGGTTACAAGTTCACCTAGTCGGAGAATGGAACAAAGACTCTGTGATAAAAGATCAGTAAGCTAGCTATTCTGACGCATCCCAGCCCCGCTAGCTAGAGAGAGGTCCAAGTTCGAAATGGGGAAATATATTCCGCAAGCAGCCAGAAGCACGAGCAATAACAGCAGGCACAAAGCAACGTATATATGCAGCATAAAATTTTCGTTGGGAAGCGTTACAAAATAACATACTAAAATATACAACGAACCAATAGCGTTTAAAATCCTCCCAAGTAGGAGATACGACATGAAGGTGAAAATGAGCGCTTTTGGCGCGAAAACAAGAAATTGAAATTTTTAAAGTAAAATTACAGAAATAAGGTTGTATCTCTTTATTTCTGCAGCAATTTGGAAGACTCTCCCGGTCTCCCACATTGTACGAGCATTCCATGTACCCAAATTATTGGTTGCTCTTGTTGTCAGAAAGGGCATAAGCCTCGTGACTCGGAAAGAACTCGACTTTCATCGTGAGACGTCGTAACTCTTTTAAATGGAAACCTTCTAACTCCCAGGGTAGAGCTTAGATGGTTTGAACTTTTTTTCTGGTTAGCGTTTTTTTAGCGAGTTAGTTTTCTACGGGATGGAGTTGCTAACCCCATACCCAACCCTCCTCCTTTATCCTGGCTTGGAACCGGCAGTAGCCCCAGAGGAGCTCCAGGTGACCGAATATTTCAAGTTAGTTTTCAGTATCACTGAACCGGTTCTATGTGCCCAATCATATTAGTATGGTAGGTTGCATTATCACGATAAACCCCAAATTAGTAGAATTAACAACATTACCAACGGTAATAGAAAACATAGTTTGAAAATGCAGGATCAATGAAATCTGAGACAATTGACTGATATTTGAAAAGGAGACAATTGATTGATATTTTACAAATGAAGTATTTACTGTATGGTTCTCAGATTTTACTAAGATGTTCTGTAATTTTGTATTAAAATACATTCGATTGTCCCCACTTGTGTTCTTGTTCAATACAATACTATTATATAGGCTAAATGAGAGTAAAGATGACGGCCATCTTTCTGTGTGAACATAATTGTTTACCTATTCAAAATCTGTAATAGTAAACGTTCGATTTTTTTGTTTTATCCGGTAGTTTATGGAGAATCGTTTAATTTGAAGACAGCTGTTGTACACTTAATTAGAACTTTTCGGCATTGCCATTCAAGACTTAGTGCTAAGTTAAATTGATTACCTGCACATCTTGTAATAGACAAAATACCTTTAAAATAGTGAGGTGGTAGTCAACATTTTTAAGCTATAATAAATTTGATATGGTGCGATTCTTATTCAATGTTATCAAACGTTTCTTGATTGATTCCCGATTTGTTGGAACATGTATTGCGTATACCCGACCACTGCCTACCTAAACGTATTATGTTTGTTCGTGTAGGGGTAGGACAGAAGAAACCTATAGGAGACTAAACAGAGCTGCGAAATAATTCCATACAGTCAGTGACTTGTAGATAAAGCCTTATTGATAAGTACTAACTACGTAGTTGAAGTCCTAGCAATTATCGTGGCCAATGATTGTAGATGATGGTGATGTGGCTCAAATACATTCCCCTCATTCACTCTTTCTTCTGGAATCAGATGGTTCAAGCTTAATGTTTCTATAATCACTGATGCTATTACGACTACCACTACTCTAGCCTCTATTTTGGCAATTTCACCTCGCTGTGTTGAAATAGTGTAATAATATGAATCAATATAAATATGTACGAGGTTTTAAGTTGTTTATGATCAGGTGATTGTTATGTTAGAACTCTCTGCAAAGAATCTATCTAAAGATTAATTTTTCTGGTAAACTTATCAGTGATATTCACCAAATCACTTTAATCGGAAATCTTGTAAAATTTAAAAATAAATCTCACCACCAAAAGACATTAAATGTGAAGAAGCATTATCTTGAAATGAAACAACCGTAACTACTCCAAATATTAAACAAATGAAAATATATTATTTTGAAACAAGCATTAACTGTAATATTAACACATAAAAACGTCTAATTAGATTAATTACTTTTTTAGTAAATTAATTAAATGACAATGTGCCTTTTTTGTTTAAATTTCTTACACTAAGTGACTGAAGAAGAAGGAGAAGAAGAAGAAGGAGAAGAAAAGGATAAATAAGCATACAACAAACACTAAATCTTTAAATATTGAAGATTAAAAAAGAACATTGAACAATTTTGATAGAGACATAAGTTTTAAAAGAGAAGAAACTACAAATATGAAATATTATCTTTGCATACAGTTTTCCAATTAGACATTTTTAACATCAACAAAAAGAATGGACTAGTAGGTGCATAAATGAATAAACGTAAAAAAAACTTCGTACACAAATTCTAATACATCGTTCACAGGATTTATATATATGGAACTTTAGTATTATAAATACTAAAAGTAAATAGGTAAATGAACCATGGTTTTGTTGTTGTTGCTACTGGCACATACATGAGTACATAAAATGCAATTGCCCTGTACAAAACTTTATTGCTTACACTTTCCTTTTCATTAATTCTACTAGTTTAAATAATTGTAAACGAATAAACATTAGTGATAGTTTACACAATAACTATTTGTTTACTAATTATGTTCTCTATAAAATGTTGATTATATTTCTATTATAGGTTCAGTATTGTTAAGTGGTTAAATAAGAATGAGGATGGTATTTCACAAAAAAACTTATTGTAAATGAATGTTAAGTAAGTTGGATGATAGATATATAACTTTTTTTATTGTCCACGTTTTTCACTGAATAAACAAAGCAAGTAAATAAATGGATATCATAAAAACATCATGAAATAATATTGTCAATATATTCAACACATTAAACACGATGTAATATTACATTCAGGGAACAGTTTGCCTTTTCACATAGACATCTACAAGTATTCCATTCACTGCAATATATATATATATATATATATATATATATATATATTGTATCAAAGATGAACAGTTTTCAGCAAAGACTTGACCTACATACCTAAGACTGTACTATTGATTTAACCGATAATAACATGAACATTGGTAATGACAACAAACATATGGATAATAATAGTAATGGTGATGATTTACAAAATGTCTTTTTTTCATTAAAACACAAAAAGACGGTAAAAGTATTTGCATATAGAAAAACAACTTTTGTCCCGAAGCTGATAATAATAGTAATGTGAAACGACTGTATTAAATACTAATGACTACAAAAAAGTAAAACAAAATACCTTTGTTGCATAAATAAAGATGCATGAAAGAACAACGGTATCTCAAGAGTTTATAGTGTTTTAGCTTATGTATCTAATTGTGTATAAAAGAAATATCAGCACAAAATGTTTGTTCATACACATATTATTGATTGCTGATCGTTTAGAACAGTTTGGAAATAATCCCTCTTTAGATTAAATGACAAGTGAAATAGACAAGCAGTTTACACGGATAATTAAAAGAAGAATATAAAGGAAAAATATAGGTAGACAAAAGAAGATTAAACCATTTACGAAGATAATGGAATATATAACAAAATAAATGGAAAGAATATATATTGCAAAAATATTTGGTATTGGGATTTATATATTCCGTTTAATTCAAAACAATACAATTCGTGAATTTCAAGAAATCACTTCAAATAAAAAAGCATCACTTAGATATTTATCCATTGAAAACTTACGAAAACTTAAAATCTCATTCAACCAGTTACTAATTTCATATTTATGAATATAATATTACAGATCAATTGTACCAGAGAGAGTTATTTGTGAATTTTGTTCATTCATTGATTGTGTAACTGATAGAGTACCATTGAGTACAGAAACAGGATTTGTATATGACTGACTCAATAAATTCATTACCGTTGCCGATTGTGAAGTTGCATTAGTTGTCGGTTGTGATTGTGATAAAGCTGATGTTGAAATTAATGGTATTTGTAAACCAAAGTTATATAAACCTGCTAGTGGTGACAAAGAGTTTAACGATTGTCCAATAGTAGAAGAAGATGAACAGTTCTGTCCTAATTCATTACTGCAATTGGTTAATGATTGTTGCAGTCCAATAATTTGTGGTATAGCATTGCTATTGACGGTACTTAATCCATTTGGTCCAACCAACATAGCTGTTGCAGCAGCAGTTGAAATGGAATTTGGATCAAAATAGTAAGTAGGTTGATTGTTAAATGTTGCATTAATAAGTCCACCATTTCCTAATGTTCCATTTGAAAATAACTGTGTTGAATAATCAAACGCATTATTGATTATGGTTCCAGCAGTACATTCATTTTGTAGATTAACATTATTATTATTATTGGTTAAATTACCCGTTACATTTGCTAAACCAGTAGTATTTATAGGAAAATTTGTTGTACCAGATAATTGTAGAACATTTGTTTGAGATTGTAATAAATTCAGTGGAGTTGATGTATTTGGTAAATTGTTTGATAATGGTAATGGCATAAATGCTGCATTTGTATGCATTACACTTGGATTAATTGGCAGTGCATAACTAGCTGCAAATGCTAATTATCAAATAAATAAATAAATAAAAGACAAAATTCAACTTAATATTTTTTTAAAGAAATGAAATTAATTGATGATTTAAAACTTCAGAAACATGGAATGTATTTGTGGAAGATAATTTTCTTCTGAAAAATTAACACTTGAAGTTTGATAAGTTGACTGTAATTGTGGTGGACTAATGGTCTTTGTTATAAATGCGGAGTATAATGGATTATAAGCTAGGTTATATGAATTTAAGTTCATTGCTGTCACGGTAGAGATAGTCGGATCTAAGTTGTTTGGATTCGATTTTTTTTTAAATACATGTAATGTATTTGATTCATTAGTTTCTAATATATTTTGTGACGAAAGTTTTGAACGGAAACGCACACTACCATTCATAATGGACAAGTTACGAGAGCAAAATATATCATCTGATTTAGGTGTTTGGTGTTGTTGTGTAGACAACATGTATAGTGGTGACGAATCCGTATGTGTAACTGTGAGTCTACCGCTCTCACTGCTGTCAACTTTAATTCTATGTCTTGAAGATGACCCTAAAATGACGCAATACAAGTTTGATAATGATTTAAAACTAGATTCTATAATCAAAAGTGAAGATTTCCAGAAGCCTTACATTCTAAACTGAAAACAGTTTAACGAGGAAGTTTCTAATGCCACCGTTCTGTCATGAAGAACGTAGCTAATATAACATAAAAAGATTGTTGGCGTCCAAATCTACACTCCATATTCGATTTAATCTGATAATCGGAATTGTGGCTACCGCATAACATTTTTGGATAATGTATAACTGAAGGTTTTTATTATTAATAGCATTAGGGTTAAAAGCCTAGCTTATCCCATCATTGAGTGACTGTGACACCAATTAGTTTTATGAATATAAGCATGCTACTCACAAGTAGTCTGGAATTCCACCAAAGTATTCTGCAAACGCTCTAATTTTATGACCTTTAGAGTATCGAGTCGAATAAGTGATTATTTTATCAACGAGAATTAGAAGATGAAATAGAGAGGGGAACTATATAGAAATAAATTTAGAGGTTATCAGAAGGTGGAAAGAATACTGCAATCAAGTCATTTCATGTATTTCGGCTACAATTATTGTTTTCCTTTGATGAAATATGAAATGATTAAGAATCATATGGTAAAACACTGTTGTATAAATGAGTTTCATGGTAACGAGCAATTTAAACTAATGTGTAAAGGTGAAATATTTAAAAGAAACTAAAGCGCAAAACCAAAACCCTAACTGTTTTCAGAAATGTAGTTGATGAACTTAGCAAAACTTAGGTGAAATAAGTTATTTCATGTTGTGCTAAAACTATCTATTTATTTGAAAATACATGTAAAGATAAGAAATGCGTGTTATAACGATAACACAAAAAATAACCCTGTAATATACTATAACACTATATTACAAGTACATAATATGTTTCTATAATCTAGAGGGAGCTGGTACTTTGAGAAATTCAGTTTTAAGTCACTTAGTATCGTAATCAGAGAGATTATCAACCAGTAACTAAGCTTTTGTTGGACTGATATTCGTCCATTTATGGATAATAGAACTTAAAAATCAATTTTCTTAATGATCTATTTCATTCGTAAGTGTTATAAACATTTAGAAATATTGATTCCAGGAGTTTAGAGGTGATCTATGGGAAACCGTAGAACTAGGTTACTTGCTGTTAGAAACTTATGAGCAAGAACTGCTTATGATCTTGATGAAATTAGTGTTTACACTAATGAAATATTTCCGCTAGATGACTCGTAACTATCACACAACCTACTCGTTGTTTTTTGAATGATCAGATTATTTTTATAATTTATGCGACTTGTAAGCGATCACTGAAGTTAACTGTTATAATGTTAACATAATTTACATTTTATGTGTTATGATTCTTAAGTATAGAATTTCACTTATTATTTAAGTGTATTGTATTTGAATTTAATTCTGTTTAGAATTATTGAATAAATGCTGTATGTTTGAATAGAAAAAGAAACTTTTCGTGAAGCAATGTCAGTTGGATGAAACATCGGGAAAAGTATAGTATACTAAGTTGCTATACAATACTGATGAAACTCAGTATGGTGAATAGTTACGTATATTGGTCTTCGATCATTTTGTTATTGACCACGCTTCGGATAATAGATGCGTATCAAGAGACAGCTCTCTAAGATGAATGGCTTACTAGGCATTAACTATTGATGTTAACGAACTTAACCAAATGAAGGAGTCTGATCATTTATCCTTACCGTTTTGCGGCACTCTAAATCTCATAGGTTTCTTCTATTTTCTGCATAATCAGTTGCATGGTTTCGGATTCATCTACCTTTGTCTATTAACACTTTCTTCTGATCCCTCAAGCTTAAACCCATTTTTAAAAAGTTTATATTTTATACAATTAATCAAAGTATAAAATAATGCTGGATCATACTTGATCAATGTTCAGTGAAACAGCTTCATTTTGTTTTAGATTAAAGTCGAAGTTCATTGACGTAATAATTTTGTATTACAAAATATTACTGAATAATGGGTTCTTATAAATCTGTAATATTTTTTTTCATGATGAACTTTACTTGTTCACATTCAGTAGTACTTAAATTGAACAATTAGGTTAACTGATAATAACAATCAAACATAAGATCTAGTCGCATTTATGATGATGTCAGTTAATACTCCATGAAATTTATTGAATTGATGAAAAAAGTTTATTCTCTAAATTTAAACATATATCATTATCATCATCATCATCATCATCATCATCATCATCATCATCATCATCATCATCATCATCATCATCATCATCATCATCATCATCATCATCATCATCATCATCATCATCATCATCATCATCATCATCATCATCATCATCATCATCATCATCATCATCATCATCATCATCATCATCATCATCATCATCATCATCATCATCATCATCATCATCATCATCATCATCATCATCATCATCATCATCATCATCATCATCATCATCATCATCATCATCATCATCATCATCATCATCATCATCATCATCATCATCATCATCATCATCATCATCATCATCATCATCATCATCATCATCATCATCATCATCATCATCACTCTAGAATTAATTATTGAATAACTCATCCAAACAAATATGATGTTGTTTGCTAAGACGTCATACTTGTTAGCACTAATTAAACTAGAATTGCTTCTACATTAGGAAAGATTCATACTAATTTTATTAACTAAATGAAATATATATCCTACTAAATGGTTGATTTATTAGTGTATAAGATAAGTGGATAATTGTATTGTAGTGTATGCTACGTATGTTGATAGATATAAGTTGTATGAAGCACCGATCGGAAGTGGAATGCTTGGCAGAAGAAGGTTTGAAAAGATCAACAGGAATATGTAGAAAGTAAGTTCAATAATGACTATAATGACGCATTGATGAAGTTTGTATGAAACAATTGATAATATGTGTAAATGAAGTATTTAATGTATGTTTTTTATATTTTGTGAAGACATTTTGTAATTTTGCATTACACAATAAATTGGTTCACCTTACTAATTCTTCGTTCACTGCAGTGTCAGTTTGCTGTTTAAACGAATATTTTCTATATCACTAGATATTTGACAGTTTGAAAGAAGAGACTGATCAAACGATTAGATGAAGTAGGCTATTCTGTATAGAAAAGTATTACTTAGAAAAAAACCACTATTCATTTTCTTTCAATTGACTTCGATCATGTAACGTAAGAACAGTGTTTATTACACTTTTTAAATGATTTGGAAATCATAGTTCACTACGAATTGAAAGAAACTAGGTTCAAATTCAGATACTAATGTATGGTAATGCATTTATCAAAACGATTTTAAAATGATATATATATATATATATATATATATATATATATATATATATATATATATATATATATATATATATATATATATATATATATATATATATATATATATATATATATATATTACTCGTTGTGACAATATCTTCGAGTTGAGACATATTAAGCTTTGTAAAATCTGTATTATGTGTAGATTGCTTGACTATTTTAGTGATTAATTTCAATTTACGAAAAAATTGATAAAGATTTATTTGAAAAAGAAATATAAAGTCAAGCATTCTGTTATTAATACTGTTTACCTTCATTCAAGTTAAAAGGGTTAAATGGAAGACTTTGAATAGCTATTTCAGAAGCACCCAGTTTAGCCTCAGTAGATGTTAAATAATACCGACTTGTGTTGCATCGAAATTGCAGTTTTGGAATATAAACCTGATATAATGAAAAGATACCAAATATACATTAAAGTTTAGTTTATTCACAAGAAAACACAAACACATACACTAATCAAAATAATGTTATTCAAGTGTTCTTCGTGTGTTTAAATTCCGCATTTGCTTAAACAAAATTAGTATTTAAAAGATCCACTGACGATATTGTAAGATAGTAATAGAATTGTAGAGAAGTTAAAAATAGACTAGCAATATTCTCTCTCTATAGAAAAGATAGATGTATGAATAGTAGTGGAATCTAGGATGCACGTTCCATTTGATTTCGGCATCTAGATGTCCCTGCATTCCAATGTTGATATCTACACAGGAACTCAAACAGAACAATTTGCTTCAAATGCATAACAATTTATCCATTTCAGATAGCCACTCACTTGTGAAACAAAACTGATCATAATTGAGTTAAGAATATCAAGAATGAGATAATTGAAGCCTTTTTAACAATGATATAAACATTGCCTTTATTTTAGTGAAGTTACTCTTTTCCACGTTAGAAAGTTTAGTTATCAAGTATTCTGTTGACAAAGTTCATAAAACACAATCTGAAATCTTATCAGTTTAATGTATCACGACTGAAGTACAAAACATCTCCGGATCAATATTCTAACCCAATTTTAATTTTCAACAACTGAAATTTTTGCGGAAAAAATTTTATGCTATTAAATATTTGAAGATTCTGTGATTAAGAAATATATATTGAAATAGATTTTTCTGAATATTTGAAGTTTGAAGTTAACTGATCAAAATGATAATCATTATTAAAGTACAACAGTTATACTATATCTCGAATTCTACATGTATTCAGGTGGGTGCTACTGATGTTGACAGATATTAGTAGTATGTATCATCAATCGACAGTGGAATGTCTGGTAGCAGAAAATTAAGAAAGTCGGAGAGAAGAGAATGAGAACAGAGAGTGATTGGTATGGAAGCGAAGGAACACCAAAGTATGAGACAATTGATTGACATTTTGCAAATCAATTATATACTGTATGGTTCTCAGATTTTACTATGAGACTTTGTCATTTTGTATTCAAACACATTTGGTTGTCCCCACTTGTGTTCCCGTTCATTACAGTATAACTATTTCGAACATTTTAAATCTAAATTTAATTTTCTTGCTGTAACTCATTCAAACGAAATAATTCGGTAAATAGAGCATGTTGAGAAATTGTTTGTCCAGATAATATCTGAATATAATGACACTAGTAATTTTAAGGTAATCAGCTATGATATAAAAGTATATGGAATTAATTGTCATAACGTTTTGGTAAAACCACTCAACTTAAAATGTCTTTTGCCCTTGCTCGTGAAGCTAACCTCTTCGGCATATATCTAAGTATGAAAACGTATATTTATTCGTATAAATTATTCTGTTTCTAAACGCTAAGTTTAGTTTAAAAACAACTCTATAAATGAGTAATAAAAAGTATTTCTATAGCTTGTTTCTTATTGTAATACTACATATTAGTAAAAATTTGCTTTCAAAATTCATAAAAGCTTTATTAGATATTTTCAAATATTAGTTGTTATGCAATAATACCAATTAAATGCTGTCTTCCTGTATATTAACAACAATGAATATTGTTAGTTCAGTAAAATAAGCAAATAGTCAAGTGGATCGCTATACCAATCCTGGGATCTGTTTACTTTTTTCACTATACTAATTATTGAGCTTTTCTAATTGGTATCGATAAAAAGTGCTTCTGATTTAGTAAAGGTACTCTTTATCCCTTATCAGTACAGTCTTTGACAACACATCCAGTTGTATAAAGCTAATTGATCATTCACTGGTTTATAAATCATCATTTAAAGTTGATTAATTTACACTAACTTAGATGGATAGTGGCTAGCAGTGGAATCCAGGACGCACGTTTCGTCCTGTTTGGGACTCGTCAGCTGGATGTACCTGAATCTGAGTTGATGTTCACTCTGGAACTCGAACTCAGTACCGTTCGCTTCAAACGCCATCGCATTATCCACTAAAACATCAATGGGAAGATTCAAGCAAAACAATATCAAGTGAATTAAACTTCAACCCATTGCACAAGCAAGTGGCTATCAGGACTCAGTAGCTAAGTGGATAACGCGATGGCGTTTGAAGCGAACGGTACTGAGTTCGAGTCCCAGAGTGAACATCAACTCTGAGATGCAGGTACATCCAGCTGACGAGTCCCAAACAGGACGAAACGCGCGTCCTGGATTCCACTGCTAGTCACTATCCATCTTTGTTTAGAATGCTTGTAAATTAAGGCAATATCGAGGCATACGCACAGTATGCACATATGTCAATAAGAGACTGATCAATTTTAGTCCTAAAACATCAATGGGAAGATTCAAGTAAAACAATATCAAGTGAATTACACTAACTTAGATGAAATATATAATCCTGAAGGGTACTCTAGTAAACTAATTATGTTTCTACATTCACAGTTTTTTTATCCTATAATCTAGTTGGTGTTATTCCTTCTTTTTAATGATTTTAATAATAATTACAAAGTATAAATGGATTTATCAGCTGAAGAGTCCCAAATAGGATGAAACCCACATCCTGTATTTCACTGTTAGCCACTATCTATCTTTGTTTAGAATGCTTGTGACCTAAAGTAATATCGAGGCAATACACACAGTATGCACATATGTATCCATAAGAGATTGATTAATTACAGTCCTAAGGAAAAGAAGAAGACCAAAAAAACACATTACGCCGGGAAATGGAGACAGACATCAGAAAAGTGAACAAGAATTGAATGGAACTAAAAAAGAAAGCCCAGGACAGAGTGGGTTGAAGAATGCTGGTCGGCGGCCTACGCTCCATTAAGAGTAGCAGGCGTAAATAAGTAAGTAAGTAAATATCAATGAGAAGATAAAAATAAACAAATATCAAGTGAATAATCACTATCATTCGAATAGTATTCGCTTAATCTTTTTAAACCATGATAATCTAATTCTTTAAAAGATATTTAGACTTTCAGTGAGTTTTTTCGTTTTATTTTTGTTCTATTTTCAGTGAATTTGTGTTTTTTTTTATAAAAAAATAGTTCGATAATCAATATATGAATGATGTTTTAGTTACTTTATGTATACTTGAAAGGAATATTGATAAAGAATTCGACACAAACAAAAAAAATATAAAAAAGAAGAACAAAACAAACTATCATCTATCCTGTTTATCTCATTTGACTTTTAACTTATTGTATACATAATACAACTGAACTAAACATATTTAATTTTTGATTTCGATTTTAAATCTATCTACTGTATAAGTTTATTTATGAATTAAGCAAAAATCAATGATATTTGTCATTTAGTAATATTAATATATTTATTATATAAATCACATTGTACAATATACAATAATGTATGATTGACCCTTGATCATAGTGACATTGTGAAAATATTTCAATTCATTTATAAATGGAATAATAATTTTAATTAATTTATAGGACATTATAATGAATAGAATGATCAATATATTTATCATAACAATTAATTAACTCAAATCAATATACTGTAATTTTTCAATCACAGTTATTTGTCTATAAGTTTTGGCATTATTATTGTTTATTATTATTTAAACACGCGTAAATATTAATACAAGGAGGTACCAAATAGAAATACGTCACATAAATCGAATGATTTATGTGAGGACTGGAATACTGCCTAGGTAACTAATTTGAAACAGGTGGATTTCTTAGGTGGCCACACTTGGAACCTTTGACTTAAAGGTCTAATCCACAAGTCAGTGGCGATACATCAGGAGATGTAGTGGTAGAGAAGATTTGTAGCTCAGGTGGATGATTTTGATGGAGTTTTGTTCTCTGAGCTGGATGGTTTGGTCATGGAGGTTTCATCGTTCTTCTGGTGATGTCGTTCAGAAGAACAATGAAAGATCCACGACCAAACCATCCAGCTCAGAGAACAAAACTCCATCAAAAAACAGGAGATTTAGTCTCATGGTAGCCGTTGACCAACGATTGGTTCATACACCATTAGGATCCTGAAGCCCATGTTCACCACTAGTATGGAATCAGGGTTATTCAATCCCCTAGGTGGACTCTCCATGTCCACCAACTCGGTTAAAGCACTGGACATTGGGTTTTCCCCCTTTGAATTTCGTAAACAACACCATCGCTACAAGAAGGCGGTGAATAGGCCCTCCCTGAAGGTAACCATATGAGCGTGACCATGTGAAAACATTTAGAGAGGGACAGAAAACTATCCTCACTCTCGGGCGTACCAGGTCATTTGGGGGCAAGTTTTGATAACCATTTTGGAAAAATCACTTTAATTATTTATTTCATAGATCTTGCAAAGCAAACGGACATGGTTTCATATTGTCCATTTTCATTTCGACGTAATAAGAGTGAAAAATGAAAACAGAAAAAACAGCTAAACAGAACATATTAATAATTATCAAATAAATGAGGTTTGGTTAAATGGTAAAATTCTACCAACAAAAGAAAAAGTATATATCCGTACCAAACTTCAGCTCCTGTGAGAGGTAAAGAGTGAATAAATCTTCAAAACTAGTATCCATTTTAAGTAACGACTAAAGTCTCCGTTTATTAAATAATAATACAAGTGTACTAATATAACATAAAAATCTATATCTCAATGCTAGGCTGAGATAAATCGATCACATTATATGGTAATAACATATATTCACTGCTCGTCACTAGTGTTCTTCAAGACTAACTGGATATTTGCCAACTAGGGATGAGTAAAAAATAGATCAGCCATGTGAGCTAATGATAACTGGTTGTTTCAGATCTAACTGAAATTGTACTCTTAACTATTATATCACTAAGTTCGTTAGGTTATCATATGGGATCAATGCTCTGAAGATGAGTATTATGAAATAATTTTCATTTACACGTGTCTTTACATTTTAGAGTTTACTTTTTCAGAACTTAGATCATTACATCATGAACTGTTGTTCAGAATACTAATCTTTTGGTGGGCAAACGAGGATCTCGATAGAGTCTTAGGTATTGACTAAAATCAAGTGAAAATTTTGTTACTATGACATAATTTACTCGGACGTCAACCCAACATAGCTGATGAGATATTTAGATTTGTGAAATGGCAAATCCGCCTGGCCACTTTGTTCTCCGTAGTCAAGGATTATCATAAACAACTACTAAAAAACAGTTTACATTAAAATGAATGGATATGCGCCTAAGTCATTCCTAGCTTACTGCATAAAGTGTTACCTAATAGCCAACAAAAATCTTTAGGCTGAACATGAATCAGTTAGTGATCTTAATAATAAAAAGTACTAGAAAGTAAATCTAACGACTTAAAATAATGCTTACCTGTCCAACATACAACTGAAACTTATTTCCTGTAGTTGAATCAATGAAATCAACTGGTATTGCACTACATATCGGAGAACCAAGACCATCACGTAAACATAGATCATTTAAATTCTAAAATTAAAAAAGAGGTATCTATAGAATGTTGACTTAACTGGTAATTTAAAAAAAATATTTAGTACATACATATAAGAAGGCTAGTGATTACTAATGAGATGAGGTAATAATAAGGAATAATTACATTTGACATTAATTGAAACTACACTTGTTGAAATAAATAGATTATGATAAGAATGAAACAGAAGAACTAAACGTAGTGAGATAGATAATTAAGAGAATCAATGGACAGTTTAGGGGTCTTGGAGATTGTTAAGTTTTTGATTGAGATCATGAACCGATGGATGTTAGACCATCATTGTAAACCTGGAAGCACTGGACGCCTGTTTCGTCCTATTGTGGGACTCCTCAACAGCGCGCATCCACGGTCCCGCTTGCGGGATTCGAACCCAGGGCCTTCGATCTCGCGCGCGAACGCTTAACCTACTGGACCACTGAGCCGGCATCCAATGGTGTTAATGTCCAACCTCAACCAATCCACGAAATTGCGTGGCCATCTTCCATTGTACTGAGGTAGGCACATGTTTCTACCGACACAGATTAGCTCCACTGGTCACGGCTTCTCACCAGAACTCCGAAGATTTTCTCACGAAGCTAGTCACTAGTGAGCACATGGTAATTATCAGTTTAGGGATTGTGGATATTGTTAAGTTTTTGATAGAGATCATGAAACGGCCGTCCAGTGCTTCCAGGCTCTAAATGGTGGTCTAACATCAGTCGGTTCATGATCTCTATCAAAAAAAGAATCAATGAAACCTTCATATTCAAACAATTTCACTCTTAAGGGTAAGCATATATAAATCCATACAATTAGATATGAATCAATTAAATTGTATACATATTTCTTTTCTTCAATAAAGTACACATTGTATAAATTGAGACTAACCTCTAAAAGAGCCAACGGATTCAACTGACGTTGCTGTAACTTCTAAAATAATAAGAAAAAAAATAATGATAATGATGAAACTAACGAATTAATTCATAATGAAAAGACACTTGATTCTTTTTTCTTACATTAAACCAAATGAATCATTTCAAAAATAAAATTGATTAGTGATTATTTTTTTAATAGGCAAAAAGAAAAAAAATAATTAAAATTTGGCAGAAATGGTCTTCTAGCTAATTTTATTTTTATTTTATTCTCTATGCATGTTATTAGTAAACAAGTATGATCAGTAAAATAGCCTTAAACACAAGGCTAACTGTTATGTTTCTTTGTTATAAAAAGAAAATAATGAGAAGAAATGTTACAGTGCATTAGTAATCAAAGAAAAAGAAATTCGGTATATTATCACATAAATAAGCTGGTGAATTAGATAGTTTACTAACTGACTAGCTAGAAATTAGTAAGTATTAGTTGATTATCTTTTCTTTGTTCATAGAGAAATCATGCATACACACACACACGAGATTTACGGTAATCAAACCATATTTCAACGAAAAAAAACCCAAATCAAACTATCTCATTAGATTCAGTCATGATAATTTACCAAAAATTTGATATTAAAAACAAGTAACAAACAAACCAATCATCAGTTAATGAAATGGATTGAGTTTCTGATGCATTTTATGAATAATTGTTGTATTGTTGATAATCAAGTTTCTTGACTTATTAATCATAATATATAGTAGTTTGTAGGTCTATACAATGACCCTACAGTCATTACGTTAAAGAAATAATTTAATGAAATGTCAGTATATAGAATTTGATAACTTGACACATCTTATATGCTCTCTTTTTAATTACACTTAATTGTGTAAAGGTTGCAAATATTGCACATCAGTTTAAACACGAGTAAATGAATCAATGAATGAATCGATGTTCGAATCTAAGACACATTACCTAAGAGTTGAATGCTTCAATTAACTAATCATTACATCATAAGTATACATATACAGATACGTAATGTAACATAGACCATTGTTATTGAGAATGTTAGTTTAACTTTAGAGAATAAAAAACCATTAGATGACACTGAATATATATTTGAATTAAAAATTAATTTACCGCTATTACACCAAACATGATATGGGATTTATGTTGTTAGTACGAATTTTAAACAGTGTAAGCAAGATACATGTAGAGTTCTCCAAGGAACATGTGTACAAGGTACTGTTTTCGGAAATGAGTATAAATTTCAGTGGTGGATTTTATTATCATAGAATATTATTTGACATTTAACTGTCTACTTAACTAACACGTGGAAAAGATACATTTTGTGTAATATTTTATGAATGTTGACTGACTACTTCCACGAATTCGGTGCTCATCTTGTTGTGCTAATGAGGTGTGGCAATTTGGACCAATGAATAATTATGTATACCTGGTCCTACGTTTTATCTGACTAACTGAATATTTTATGAAGTCAATACAAATGATACAGAAAACGATCATTTCTATGGATAATAATAATTATTTTTTTGAGCTTTCTTCTACCTCATATGTAGCCAAACTGTGTTCCTTATATATAATATTTTCAATAAGTATTTCATGTACAATTCAATGTAACTTAGTTACCTAGTATATGTTTGATGAACTCATTTTATAGCTAAACTGTATGTAGAAAATGTATTTACACTAGCCGGTTTGTCAAGTTCAGACTGTTAATTTCAATGATCACATATCAAATTATCATGGAACACAGCAATTCATTAAAATAGATAAGTATTATTACTACAAATGTCATCTCTATTTATATTAGATTCAAGAAAGTAAATGATAATTATCAAAATCTTTCATTGATTCGTTTATAATTTTTAAATCTTTTTTCTCATAATCAAATCACTAATATGCAAATATGAGTAGTATATTACAATTTGTAGTGAGAAATATTTTATTACAAAACAAAATTATTAATTATTTGTGATTACACCATGAAAAATGTAATAAGTTTTGTGATGTTTATATATATATATATATATATATATATATATATATATATATAAGTTTATATAAATAGGCAAATAGCATAAATCTTATCAATATCATAAATAGAGCATTTAAAACAGCGAAATAAAAATCATTAATAAATGGGGTTAATTAAAACAAAAGTGATAGGAATTGAAAATTATAGGTGTAGCAGGAATTTATTGGCAAAAAATATATGGATTAGGATACGATTGTTTTATTGTAAGCAATTTTGTTAATATTTTGCCTTAGTAGTTTCAGACTGATAGTTGTTGAATTATTATCGTGATATATATATATATATATATATATATATATATATATATATATATATATCTGACTACACGTTCTTGTTATCAGGATTTACTTTAACTGCATACACTTTTTAATTTTTGTTTCATGATAAACTTACTAACTGATCGCATAAACGCCATTGATGTTTAGCCTTGCCTCAAATTATTCACAAGATAGAAAAAGGAATTAGATATAGAAAAAAATATACAAAAAATGGTGAGTTAAACATGTATAACGTGATGTTTAATGTTTGATAAAATACTACGTAACTATATATTAATTAATGGGATCATTAGTCAAGTCATGTCAAATCACTGTTGAAAACCTAGATGCTTTCAACAATTGTTAGGTTCTAGTATTGGGCTCTTTGGCAAAGCCCATTCATGAGTCTACTAAAAAAGTTCAAACTTGAGACCATTGATTTCACTCGCAAACACTTAACATTTAGACTACTAAACCGGAATCCAATGGTATACAAGTGTAACTTCAGTCAATACGCTATAGTGCTAAATTATCTTCCATTGTCTTTCGTGGGTACTTTTTTTCGAATCCTATAATGTTAAACTACTCTAATAAAGGTTTTCCACTTTTGAAAAGTCCCAAACTAATATAAAACAGATGTACAACGCTTACAGGTTTTAATGATTGTCCAACAGAGATCGGTTCATGATCTCAATAAAATGCAATAATCTCTACAACCTATACATTATTGTACTGATTAAAGTTATCAACTCATTTATAAAATAATAACAATAATCGTGGAAAAGTGCTTTCAATAACGAATCAACTTTGATCTGATGTTAATCCAGCTGAAACTGGACTTTCTTGGATGTTGTAACTTCTCATTTTATATGAGAGTAGTTCATAAATAATAATCATTTTTAGGGTATTGGGAATAAGACGAAAATAAACTACATGAAGAGTCCCAATGCCCTTTTGTGTAAATGATCTGTATTAGACAACTTGAAATGTTTGATTTTGTTAATGTTACTAGACAATGATATACTTTTTAGTAATAGTAATCACGTAATTTGTGGTTTTTTATGATAACAAATGTGAAGATCAGAATTAAGCAGGATTTTAGATTTCATGTACTTTAATATATTTACTGTAAACACGATAGGCAATTATAAGCATACGTAATTAATATATAGTGTTTGGTTGTTTAAATTGAAGCAAATGAACTATATCACCGGACGTGATATCGAGTATATCAAACTTTATCTCATATTATTTAGGATTCGGGACTTTACGCTTGACCATCTACTACAATGAAGTATCATGAAAGTAAACGACATTGTGTCATCTTATATTTTGTTTCACTGTTTATAAGTTTACGTAGAAATTACTATAAATTTATAGTTTTCAAAAGTATTTATACAGTTAGTTTGTTTAAAAAAATAATTACCAAAGTACCTCATAATAATGCAAGATTAGGCACTCATCTGAAACGCTTAGAACGCTAAAAGATATAACGAGTTTCTTTTCCTACAAGTAATTGTTAGTTGAATATCTATTTAGTCGACTTTCAAACATATATATATATATATATATATAATGATAAATGTATTCACTGATAAAAGTGAGAACATTTACACTTTTTATGAGCTATTTGACTACTGGTTTCGCGCGCGAGCACTTAACTATTAGACCACTGAGCCGGCATCCAACGGTGTTAATGTCTAACTTCAACCAATCCAAGAAGTTGCTCCACCGTACACGATTGTCTTCAGTGAGCTGATACCTCACAACAGACCTGGTTGAACTCCACTGGTGACGGCTTCCCACTAGAACTCCAGGAGTATCTCTTGAAGTCAGTCACAAGCTTCAACTGACTCATGATTTCAATCTGTGAAATTTCTAAAATCTCCACAAACCCCTTCTGATAATGATATATTTATCAAAGCTTTTCATACCTATTAAAGAATTAATAATTATTTTGTCCGTGTGTGGCATTTTCTGTAGAGACCTGGAAATCTAGAAGAAATCGTATGTTCATTCCTGGACACAAACAGCTATAAAGTTTAAACGCAGAAATAAAAATTCTATTCAGTACTCACTATTTCCCTAATGGTTCTCTCACTTGTGTCAATAAATTTAGTAATTTTCAAAATACTATCGGAAATGTATTTCGTCTAGAAAATTAGACAAGTTACTTGGAGGTTAAAAACTTCCCTCTACATCTGAAAGTACTGGTTTTGATCTCGGAAAAGAAGAGGTTGCGAGTCCGTATTGCTAAATAATTTCATAACAGTAAAACAATGATGTTTTTTTGAATACCCTTCTGTATTAGATGTTTATTACCTTAATCAACGTGGTGTAACGAGAGAAGTCTTTACTCTGAGTAATCGGAGTTTCAGGGATTTTGAAACATGGTTTGTACTATAATAATCGTATATTTATTTATACAACAGGCAACCGATTTGCCTGTTTCACAGCGTCAAAGGAATCTGACAATTGTCTAACAGTCCCCACAACTGTGAAATGTTTTTCAGTTTCAGAATAGGACGAAGATTAATCTATTATTTTAATATTTCTGTTAGTGCATAGTTTACTGTTATTTTTCGATTACTCTCAGTATTGGTAATCAAACAAAAACCTTTTAAACTTAAGGCATTATTAGTTGCACTGTTTAATATGATGTAACCCTTTGAGGTTGCAATCAGCTAAGTTGAATTAACCATGATACTATTTTTGGTGTCCCTCAATTGTAGTCAATTCTTCGAAATTGGATGTAGAGTATAAAACAACAAGTTTATAAACCCTTGAATAATACTCTAACTAGAAAAGTTATACTTAATTACATACCTGGAGTTTATAATTCATCAAAATAAGCTAGGGAGTTTCACTTAGAGCAAATTTTTCATAGCTAAGAAGTTTTGTTATAGGTAAGTAAAAACTAATGTTTAGAATTGACTGATTCGTGGATTTTTTTTTCCTCAATGCTTTATTTTGAATATTCCATAAACAAATAAATATAACTAATTAAACTCAACTGAAGTTTTATCTGTTAGCAGATGAGACATGAAATATTCAAGTGATATTAACATATTTAGATAAGAATAAAATTTTAACTTTATTAACGAAATCATAGTTACTTTTAAACTTTACATAACACTTATCATCTGATTGAATAAAATTGATCTTAAATATTGTTTATAATTCTGATCGTATTATCAAATGATCAGATACTTCATCAGATTGAAAAGTATAATTAATATTTTGTTGTTATTTTTGTAATAGACAAATGTCTAACAATTTGGAAAATGTATACAAACTTGAAGTGATAAGATATATGATTGGCATAGCTATTATTAATTGTTTGACTTTATATTATTTATTTATTTATTTGTCTGTGTAATATTGTGGTGTGCTACTGATATCGACAGATATAAGTAGTATGTATCTCCAATTGAAAGTGTAATGTCTGATGGCAGAAGATCGAAAAAAGAGAACGAGCGCATAGAATGATTGGTGTGGAAACGAAGGAACAATGAAATCTGAGATGATTCATTGGAATTTTGCAAATGAAGTATCTACCGTATAGCTCTCGCATTTTACTTTTGATTGCACACATTGGTGTTCTCATTCACCACAATATAACATTGTGATCATCTAACAATCTTTGTTATCAACAGGCCTTAATAATTTAGTGTCAGATGAAGTATAATTTACCTCAGTGTTGATAAACATTAAGTGAATCTTTTAAACCTACCATCTGTTGATTATCTCGAAACACATAATTCAACTGGGAAAAGCTATACAATAATGGGTGAAATAAATCACAAAACTGAAATGACAAGTGATTCGATCGGTATTTAACTTGTTTAACACAGATGTATACGGAGAATGAAGTAATATATATTGGTGAATTATGACACACAAAAATTATTTAGGGTGTCTGATATCATTCTTGAGTTAATAATTTCATAATTTTTGACATGCAATGATTATGAAGGTTGAATGTTAATATAAACAGGCAGAAATGTCCATAAATTAAGTTCTTAATTCTAAAATATAGACGTATATTAGACAATTTAAACTACACACATTGTTTTTTTTGAGTGAATTAACAGTTCAGTTTGTAAAATTAACATAGAAATAAAGGAATATAAGATGAAGGTTAATTTTAGCAGAGGTTTTCAATTTTCCATTGTCGATTTTCAGGACTGTAATTACTCAGTCACTGTTGCTTGTACATATCATAAGTAGATTATCTCAATACAGCTTTTACAAATTTTTAGCTTAATTAGTGCGAGTCCCAAAATGGACTGCAAACATAACCTGGATTTCATTACTAGTTATTTACCAAATATTCTAAAGACGTTAGTATTGTGGCCAAGTATGTTGGAATCCTGTTGGCTTACAAGTATTATACAAATAATCATTAATTAAAAAGAAGCAATCAATCATGATCTTAATCTACCTATTTATGCATATTAATTGATTGGCTGATGTAAGGTGAGCTAGGCTAGTAATAAAGTTACCTTACTTTTCTACTACATATCAGCCTTTTGGGAGCTGAAACATAACTAATCCATGACCTATGAACATACTCAAGCTTGGAGTGAAGTGGTTGCTCGGTAATGAAATCGGATAACATTTGAGCTCTGTTGCGAGGTGACTAAACTTAAAGATATCAACAACTAGATTACAACTATGTAGCTGAATGTGACCGTAGTTTATCATTGGATTCATGTCCTATATAGTTAGGTCTGAAAATGGCCATAGACGACCAATCACAATGAAAGAGTCATCAAACGACTTATGGAATTCAATGATCCTTTGATAAGTGATGTCTCATGAAGATTTATTTTTTTAAATAGAATTTTCATCTGTAAATGTGTCAGCCATGTCGAAAATGATATAAACAGGACTTATATGACTTACATTTGGTTGTTTATTAAATTAATAAATAAACAAATATACTATTTGTAAATTATTAACCTTTTGTCAAAGTGTAATCATTATTTTTGTTATTATTCTGTATACGTAAATTGTTACAGGTGAAGTTGTAATGTGTACACCGGAATCGAAAATACAGCCGAAAAATATGTCTTCTTACTGATTCAAATGTAAACAAATCAACTCGTCGGTTTATTAGCGATTTTAACGACAGCGTATATATATATATAGGTCACCTGCTAAACTGAGAAACTGCACGTTGTTACATTCTAAGACAATGCTAGTTAACTAAAATTTAAAATTAAAGTCTGTCGTCCTATAACTTAAACAGACATGAGTATATTTAGAGTCTGTTAGTACCATCATTTATGTCGCAGAATTAAGGATAAGCAGACTGACTATAGAGTTCACCTATAAGATTTACTATCAATGTACAAATAATTTAGTGAGGTAGTTTACATTTACTTGAAGTCACATAATCAATGGTCGAAGTAACTATTTATTTTAAATAAAACATCAATATTTTGCAATCACTTTGGAAAATGTACATATTAGACTACTAATAGTTTTACTGATATTATCATCTAACTTAATCAATAAAATAATTATAATGAATAAAATAAACGGTCTATTAATAAATGATTCTATTTACTCACTTCTACAGGATGTTTACGATCCTTTTGGGCTCCAGCGCTTCGACTACCAGCCGCATTCCTTCGGCCCGTTCTTGAGGAATTCAGCTTCATACCACTAGTAAAACAATTGTTAGTAGTGTATGAAATGTAACCGATCTCATATTATTATAATTATTGTCGAAAAAATGCTTAATTGCTTCGCGTCTGACTGACTTATTTTTCGAAAAACTACAAATATTACTAGGTATAAACATAATTTGTGTAATTTCTTTGCGGCTAATGCCAAACCATGACGAATATTTTCTTAAGTTGAAATAAAATTATTCTATTACGAGTGTTGTTGAGAATCATAAACTGTTTAAATAAGACTGTGAAAAGATAGTTGCTTTCAACTATGCTATTCATTCATGTTTTATCATCGTATTTACAATAATTTATCAAGTATAATAACCTGTTGTAAAATAGAAGGATGAATATATGCTATAATATTTGGGACTTTCAAGTGTTGAAAGAGATCTGCCTAATGACGGAGAAGTTAGAGAAAAATCATATGATGAAAACAAATCTATGAAAGGTAATCTTCCATTTGACAAGCATAAAAAAGTTGAAGAAGAATTCAAAATCGCGGAGGTATGTATGTGTTACCTTCCTCTTGTGGAGCTAGCTACATTGGCTACACAAAGCAAGTAGTTACTATAAGCGTCTCCAGGCAATACTATTCATTGGTTTAAAAGGAAGAATTTAAAACGATCAGTAGCTTAATATTCGAACTTTTCTTCGGTTCTGATAACGATATCACACGAGAAATATCTTTTAAAATAATTTATCTACATGGCCAGGTAACTAAATTCAAAGGTTGTGCGTTTCAATAGCTTATGAACTTCTGAGGTGTTAACAACTCAATATTTGAAGCCTCAACTCTGTGTAAAAAAAAACAACACTTGTATACTACCATATCATCATGGCTCTAAAGCTTAATTTTTTTATTTGACAAATTAGGTCTTAATACCTTCTAGCAAAACTTTAATCTTTAATTGTTTTTTATTGCCACGCGATTATGACAAAATCATAAGTATGCCCTGTATAAGGGTAATTTCATATTGGCTTTCATACGAACCTACGATTCTATGTCTGAGCCACTAGTAATCGTGAGTGACAAAAGCATGAACAACGTTAACTTCCAACGACAAATGTGTGCGATTTTATTTGGTTTTTTATACATTTTTCGTGCTTTTTTTAAGTAGTTTATAATTTTACTACCAATTTTAGAAGACTGTCTTCCAGTTTATAATACTGATTGAGGGAATATAATACAATCATTTTCAGAAAAAATTACATGGTTAACTCAGCAACGGTTAAAATTTCACTTGAAATTCTCCCGAAGTGAAGAATTTCATTTAAGCTTACTCAGAAAAGATAGTAGTCTTATTTTGAAAAGTAATCAAATTACGTTATTTTAGTGCATGGTTTAAGCCTAATGAGCATGGTTTATCGATCTTATATTCTACATAGAAACATCGGTACAGATTTGGCATCAAAACCTAAGCTTCGTAGTACTAATAAAATTGATATAACGAACTAATCTAAGTTAGACACCCAGTATCGTAAATTGATTGGAGTTCGACAAATACACCATTGGATTACGGCCCATTGGTCTGGAGATTGGACATTTATGTGTGAAACCAATAGTTTCGGGTTTTGATACCTGGTTGGACCATGGTTGTGTACTCCTGGGAACTGCAATACTAGAATGAGACAGCTGTTCATCACTTCCGAGTTTTCAATGGATGTCTAAATTGGGTTAGTTCGTGATATCAATAAAATCCAGTAATCGCCACAACCTTTGTCATGATAAGATTATTAATAGGAGTTTCCTGTGTTTGTCAAATATTTAGCCTCGTCAAATAATATAAACTACATAACCTATTCGTTTAGATCTGAATGGAGTAAAGGGTTATTTATATTGTTATTTTAAATTGAGCTCACCTAGGACTTCCAAGATTATTATCTGTTCTCCCGGAGTTTAAAACATCTGAATTAGTTGGTAAAAGATCAGTTCCCATAGGCGTGCCTTGAGATGGTAAAAAAAATGGTGATGTTGATTCCAATTGGGGCAACATCCCTCCAGCTGCTACAACAGCTGTAGCTGCGGCAATCATGTTTTGATCATTTGATAAAACTAATTCATTTATTAATCTTCCAGGTGTACGAGAGGGCTGTTGTCGAGTGTTTAACTCATTCTTGTCAACTGGTTTTGCCCATGTAACTTCTATCTTTGAACCATCAATATAGGTATCTGTAAACAGTAAATGAATGTCATCCTCACACTAAATATAAAAGGAATTTAAACAATTCGACTTTATTTAAAATATTTATTTCTTGGATACATACAGCCCTTGAAAAAGACGAAGAATAGTAAAAAACTTATTTTTTCACACACAATTGTGGGTTTATATAGTTGACTGTAAGTGATATTAACCATGATATTAAGAAATATTCCGCTTGAAATCATTGAATACAACAGGCAAAATACACTTAAACTTATAATTTATCCTTTAGCCAATAAAATTTGTATTTCATCTACAAATTTTTTCTGTCCATTCGTTTCAACAAGGGATTGTTATGGTTCGGGTTGACAGACAATCTAAGTAAATACAGAAATTACTTAATCACTGTATGACACAGCCACCTTCTATACTGACAAAAGGCACATAGGTATATCATTTAGACAAGGATCAACTGATAGGATAACAAATTCAGTGAATACTCAAATGGCTGTAGCATGTTACAGTCTAAAATAGAGTGAGTTAACAGCTGACCATCGTTAAAGTTTATTGTTTTGTATTATTCAATATTATATCAAAAAGCAGAAATTAAGTGTATATATGCTCTCGGGATTTAAATCACTCTTGTGAAAATAACTAATAAATATATCACCTTCATACCCAATTTTCAGCATATGAAGTAGACCATAAACCCAAAACATAATTGTTTACGAGTTCACCCAAAACTTTATATCGGTTTCTTCTTTTAAATGTAATTTCTCCTGACATTCCAGCTATACTGTTAACGGACACAATCTGTCAAGAACCAGTAACAGTTGATATTTTTGTTATTATTGTAGTAGTGTTCCTCTTTCTTCGTTCGTTAAGTGTCATTTATTTGCATGATAACCGCTCGATAAAAATATTTACGCATATTTTACTATCCGTTTTCTAAAAAAATACTGAAAACTTACATCTACAACATTTCACTACTTTTCATAAACGGAACTGATTAAGTTAGTCATAATCTAATATTATTATCCATGTTCATTGAAAAAAGTTTCTTATTAAAATTAGTATCACAATCAAAAATCATTAATTCACATTAAAATATGGATTGGATTCGTTACGAATTGATCTCAGCCGAGATACCGTTCAAAATAAGGAACTATTAGACAGTTCTTTTGTTTTAGTACCAGAGTCCTCAGAGATGTACACTCATTACATCGTATAGGATTGAGATGAGTTCCTGAAGAATAGATGGGAATTAGTGACCAATGGAGTTCAAACAGAGGTAGAGGAAAAAAATGTGATCGATAGTAGTCAATGATTGTCGTTATTTACTGCAAATTGACTGAAGTTCTAAGTTTTTACCGCTAGACATCAGTTCAGTAGTTTTAGTGGTTAAGCTCCTTCCTCAAAACCCAAAGGTCTTAATTCCTTCTCATACAAGGGCGAAACAGATATCCAGTGGTCCTTGGTCTACTGTAGCACCTTTAAATGAACTTAACGTACACCATTTACAGAATAAAAAATTATTCACAAGACTAGTTTATTTAGATTCATATTAAATCAGAAAACGTATAAGTAATGTTAGAAATGTGTTCTATTCTGTTTTCCAGACACCAGACTTATATCTATTCACTATTATCTATTTTAAAAAATCAGCTCATTGTGAATGTAGCAAATATTCGGTCATTCATAAAACATCATTTGGTCAGAACACGTTTAAATAAGATGAAATTTACAATAAAGTAACAAAAATAACTGAATTAGGAATTTCTGTTTTCATAAACTTTACTCAAAGAACAGGATATTGAAAATTTAGAAACATGAAACAAAACGTCGAAACGGTTTAGTCGGTTATGTGCTAGACATCTATGGAATCAGACTTCATAATTATTCAACAACTGACAAACAAACATCAATGATAACAAGGACTATTCAAGCCAACTTGCTTGATATTGAAGCAAAATCTCTACGAGGTTGCTTTTTAATATTTGTGTTAATAATTTTCATAGAAAGATCATGAAAGCTTTATTGGTCATTTACAGTATTTCATGTTATGCAAGCTAAGTAGTCCAAAATTCCACAAAAATTACCAAAAAAGAATTCAATACAAAATGATTAAAATAGTCTAGGGAGTAATAAACGTTGAATTATTCAATGTCCAAGAAACAAATGTATATAATGAATATCAGTAGACTGTTGCTGTGATGTATGCTACTTATGTCGACAGACATAAGTAGTATGTGACACCGATCGGGAGTGAAAAGCCTGGTAGCAGAAGGTTAAGAAGATAGAATTGGAGGAAACAGGAAGGGAAAATAGAAACAAAATGTGAATTGGAGGAATCATACATAATGTGAAGGACAATTATTGGAAGATTTCCAAATGAAATATTTGATGTATGGTTCTTATATTTTATCAAGATATTTTGTAATTTTGCATTAAATAATATAACGGTTGTCCCTACCTGAGTTCTCGTTCATTACACTACTAAGACTAATTTGACCTATCAAGTATAATATATTGAATTTAGAAAATATTTTGTTTCCTATTATGATAAATTCAAAACTAATGACTCAATGAAAATAATACATATGTTTCTGATTTGATTAATTTTACCAGCCCTTTGTTACTTTGACCACAACTACATATGGAATCTAAGCAAATTATACTATGGTTAAAGGTTAATGACCATCAAGCGATATAAACAAAGATTTTTCAACCGGAAATCTAACATTAAAATTTATACCTAATTTGTAATTCTATAAAATACTGATTATCAAATACAAGTAATGTGGTACTCTTGACCCATGTATTTATTTCATGGAGAAAATAACATTTCGAGAGAAATAATCAAACAAAAACTCACAAATTTCACCTTTCATACGATAGAGAATGGCATAAAGGAATAATTCTACTGAGAATTTTAGTTTGAAGAACAGTTGTGTTATCGTTTACTTTAATCATTTCTGGATAAAATAGCTGATATGTTTTAGAAATTTTCATACTAGGAAGTTTATACTTCAGTCATCTACTATTCTCTGAAAGTGAGAACAACAGAAGTATTGGTTGAAAAGCAATTATATGAATTCCCTTTATTTTGTGAGTTTTCATTATTTGCTAACAAAGTTAATCATACTACTTAAATATATTGATTCGATTGAACTATACTGTGTGTTTATGATCGAAATCAGCAGCAGCCTTTAAAATGACATGAGTTATCAATTAAGTTATTTAAATGCAATATCATTAGGTGAATATTATAGAAAACACTAACATATATCAATGAACTGTTGTCTAAAGCAACTGAAAATCGATTAATCTCCTACGCATTTTATGGAAAACTATATTCGTTAATTTGTATGTACGTGATAAAACGCATTAATTAGAAGAACAAATAAGACGATTAGCTTAAATAGTTTTAAAAATATTTTAGAGAAGTTGTGAATTAAAAGCGCTAAAATCCATAATTGTGAAGTTTTGTGACCTTTGATCAATAACTTATATATAGAATGTGGATATTTCAAAGTCATTTAATATTATCAAAAGAGGGGTTTTGTGGAGAATTAAGTAATTTTATAGTTGAATTCATAAGTCGATTGAAGCTAGACCACCATGGAAAACCTGGAATCACTGGACGGCCGTTTCATATTAGTATGGGACACCTCAGCAGTGCGCATCCACGATCCCGCTGCGCGAGACTCGGACCCAAAACCTATCACGACAGGCGCGAGCGCTCAACCCCTAGACCACTGAGCCGGCATCCAACGGACTAGGATGAAACGGCCATCCAGTGCTTCCAGGTTTCCCATGGTGGTTTAGCTTCATTTACTATTATCAGTTTAAAAATTAACACAGTTTATTGTATTGCTGTCAAAACACCTAATGTATACATTCTGAGAGTGACAGTTCTTTGTTCATAAATATAATGTCAATGTAGATTTTCTTATCTGCTTTTGGTTTATTTATCTATTTATATTTATATGCTGACATCTATCCACTTCAAAATGCATTTACTTTCGCTGTTTGATTTATATTTACTTACTCCACTAGACTTGTATTAAACCTGTAAATATTCTCGAGGAAATTATTGTATAACATTTTGATCGTTTTCATTGTCAGGCTAATTTCTTTCTAGCCTAAACATAACATAATCTGAAGTTTTCACATACAGATCATATAAATTAATTGATAACCATATTGATAAACCTTGTGATTTTAACCGTATAGAGTTTAGTATCTTATTTATACGATACTATGTTGTACTATTCAATACATTTTAGTGATTCCATTAAGGTTATAAACAGTTGATAAGAAAATAAATACATATACTTGTCCTTCAACTGTTATTCGTGTTATTTTCAAATTCTCGAAGGGTTTGTAGCATTAAATCTTTAGAATAAGTTAAGAAATGAAGAAGCATATATTGGTATTACAACAACTAAGTATTGTTCACAAGATATTAGTCAGTAAATCGTTACCAATTCATAATCTGATATAAATATTTCTTAACTTGAATTCCAATGCCACATTAACACGATAAGATGAAAGTAAAAAGATGAATAACAAAAGATTCATTATAAGATAGCTATTCATTTGTGATATCGATGTTAATTAAAAGACATTTAATTACGATAGCTATTCCTAAAATCTTTTTCGCTTTTATTTTTCTAACCATTTTATCACAAAGAATGTCGACTTAAGAAAAAAAGTTGTGTAATGGTACATTCAATCTATATATATCAGTCTATATAAACAATTTATAGCGTAAAGAATCAATCCTAAATATGAGTAGAATAAATATGCTAATAGTTTTTGTTTTGTAAAGAAAACCTAACGACACATAAAGTTTTCGGTTAATTCATGTGAAACGCATGTAGTAACTTATTATTGTATCTAATACAAAAAAACAAAAAAAAAACTATTCTTTTCTAACAACACTTTATTTCTTTTATAATCCGTTTGAATAAATCTAGCAACGTATAATAACCGATAAAAGTTACATCTAACTAATTAGCATAAGTTTTGAAGAAAAAAAACATAGTAAATGTGTATTCATTGTGCACCCTTTTACAAGATTTATGTATATATATATTTGACTACTAAAGAACTATAGATTTACATATATAATTCATCTTGCCAATGCGATATATATATATTGATTACACTTCTCAGATATTTACAAGTAGGTAATAATCTAACACTTAGTGTACTGAATAATTAACTCTCAGCCTAGTTATATGAAAATAATGAAAATAGTTACATATGCTGACGTATAGCTAATGATTTTATCATTATTATTATTATTATATGTATAAAATGTAACTGGATTTATTCTTGAGCTAATTCAAATTCTAAATTAATCGGGTGATTGCGACGTAATCAAAATTTGCATATATATACGCCAATATATAATTAAAAGAGATGGGAATTTATCAAGATTTTGACTTAAAAGATAATTCTTATTTTGTGATATTGACTTTCACATCAATTCATTACATAGTGTGGAATACATATATGAATATTCTCATGAGAATAATTTATATTATTTATTTAAACTCATGGACCTCGGTACTAAGGGGTACTGAAATCTGTATACTCCACATAAATCATTGTAGTTGTATGTGGGTTGATATACTGTCTGAATGCCAAAATCGCAAATGATTTTCTTAAGCGGCCACCCCTGTAACATTTGAATCAGAGGTCTAATCCGCAAGGGAGCTCAGCAACGTTAGAAGTTGCAGTCCCATTGTAGTCGGTGACTATTTATTCCCTAACAGTCTAAAGGCCCATGTGCACCATTAGTTTGGGATCAGATTTTCCCAACTTCTCTAAAGAGATCTTCTGTACCCACCAAGACGGTTTAATTGCTGGATATTCTCTTTTCGTTCTCTAGATTTTGTAAACAATACCTTGACCGAGAGAAGGAAGTGAGCAGGACTTCTGTGAAAGTAGCTATATACATGTGGTCATATGAGAACATTGCGAGAAAGGAAGAGAGCTGACTTTCTCTACCTTCGACCGTACCACGGCATTTGAGGGCTGAGAATAAACCCTTAATCGTATAATAATCATTAAGAAATCAGCTAAGTATCAAAGTATAACTTTAAGATTATAGTTGCAATTATTGTATAATGAGTACAGATTTTACCTGCCTTTCGAAACTGAAAATACATGGGTAGGATTTCGAAATTTGAGAATCAGGCACAAAACACTGAATCATTTGACCATGAAGTCACTGTTAAATATATAAAGATGTTTGTCAGGGGTACTCCCCTGCCGAAAACTGAAGCGAATTATGAGTCATAGTGTGGGTAAACCCCCAAAAACTTCCAGAATATAAGAGTAATATTTGAATATACACGTACACATATTTAGATTTTATTTACAAGTCGATGTATTGTTTTCCTTCCTAAAATTTTAGCAGGTAACTCAGTCTTAATACTCGACCTACTATTGGTACATATATACATGTATATGATATATATGAGAATTTTCGACTTACCGTTTAAAGTATGCAAACATTGTGAAGCTTGTTCACGGTCTCTGAAGTGAATGAACGCATAATCACTTATTTTCTTTACTCTTTCAACACTGTTAGGATCACCACCGGCAGCTTTAATAAACGAATCACGTAAACTCTCTTCTGTAGTTGACAGCATTAGATTGCGAACATATAAAATCTTTACCTAAAGTGATAAAGTAGTAATTTAAAGTCTATCACTGATAGATCTAGTCATTGAAATACTGTTTAAATGAATGTCAAAAGTGGAATGACACTACCAAGTGGATTAATTATGCCTTTGTTTTCATCTGTCGCTCATAGATTTAAAATTTCGTATTAATGCTCTTGTGAAATTCTACACTGAAAGAACAGAAATATTAAAACTTTCTGTCTTACATCACTGTTTTTTTTATACTTTTAATGGACGATTGAAACCTTTATAAAACAATATGATAAGTGTATTCAATGTTTAACAGATTGGTCACTAAATGTTAATCAATATAAAGTCTTAAGTACCTATTGAAGTATATCATTTCCATCAGATTTTTTATAAAGTCTTATATTTGCCATAAATTATATCAAACTATACAACCTTTGAGTAAATAAAATACTCATATGTACGTCGATTATCAATAAAATAGTTGAATTCTGTATTATATACAAAAAGATTCTTATTCATTTTTATTTCCCGCTGGATCCAATTAAAGTCTTCTAATCTTATTATCTAAGTAACATTTTATGTACCAACAAGCAGTAGAGTTCATAGACTATTAAAAGTTCGTATAATGAAAGATGAGGACTTCTAAGATGATATTATTGAAAAAGTAACAGTAATAATAAACAGAATAACTTACTTTTGACATGATATCCTCATTAACCTCCCTTTCTGGTTCGGCCCAGTCAACAGCTATTTGGTGACCCCACAAATGAATGTGTCCAGGAAGTAGTTTACGTCTGGCCATTGCAGCTGCTTTATGACTGCCGTACTCGATGAATGCGAATCCACGATTTTTTGTCTTATCGGTTACACTTGGATACGATATTACATCTTTGACTCCATCTGTTACTCGTTTCATTTCAGATAATATTTCTTCTCTTGTTTTATTCTTAGGTATTCCTCCAACAAATAAACGACAGTTATCTACACTTAAGCATACTCCGATTGTCTTTCCTTTTCGAATTTCATAATTGTTAAGTTCTTGAACTGCTCGTTTAGTATCTTCTCTGTTAGTGTATACACAAAAACCAAAGCCTCGATTTATACCATTAAGTTCCATCATTAATCGAAACATATAAATTGGTCCAATTTGTTCGAATACAGGAATAAGTTCATCTTCAAAACAGTCCCTGGGAATTTTGCCAATAAATACCTCACAACCTCTTGGAGGTGCCTCACATTGCCAATTTGGTGGAGGTCCATAACGTCTCTGCCCATTCTCTTGTACGTAAGTATATTTTGTACGTTCAAGTAAACTAACTATTGCTTCTTCAGCAGAAAGAGCATTAGCATTTTGATTTTCTTGCTTTCCTAGGATATCACTCGAAGTAGACATAGCAGATTCTCTTGTTGATGTGGTAAATGTAGTTACAGATTGTGGCGTACTTAACTGTAAACTCGTGATGTCTTTGGTTTGTAAGGTTGTCAAACTGACGGCACTTTGGTCAACATCAGATACTAGCATAGTGATAATAGTAACAAATCACAATGAATGACCACAGAATTTGTTATGTTCATTAACTGTATATGTGTCTATTTGTGCACTGTATCCAAACTATGTGCACAACTCGTTAGAAAGTTGAACTCACTATTAAGCTTTACTCGATTTTGATTGGAGACTTATCTAGAGCCTGTGACCTTGGTATCAGCTGAATGTTATCTATAATGAACTTACTATTTGTTATCAAATAACATTAGGTATTCAAAAATATGTTTGTATCAAATGTTAACTTGTAAAATTTCAGATAATTTAATCCACTTAAAGTGAATGTGTAAATTTAGTTTTCTTAGTTTATTGTCACTACGTCGAATTTAATTGATAGATTATGTCATATCGGCAGTTTGTCGATTAAGTGAATAATTTAAATTGTTGAAGGTCATCCTAAAATTAATTGATAAATTTATTGTTAGTTATTTTCCAAATGAAACTTGACCTTCAGTAATAAATAATAATAATTTTACTAAGAAAATAACCATAAAAATACTAAGACAATTTATTAGTAATTTTTTCTCACAAATCATATATCAATCAACTGTATAATAACTCATGGTTATTCTGTAATGAATCTTTATTTTATCATTTAATTGAAACTTTCTCGGTCACATTAACTTATAATTTCAGGTAAACTGGTTTAGTTGAGATCTATAGAATGATGTTTCATATTAGGACGAAACGGCCATCCAGTGCTTTCAGGTTTTCCATGGTGGTCTAGCTTCAATTGACTCATGATTTCCACTATTGAAATTACTAAAAACCACCACGAAACCCCTTCTGAGAATGATGTTAATCAAATTTGAGTTGAATTATTACTTACTTACGGCTATTACACCCAATGTAGTATAAGCCACCGACCAGCATTCTCCAATCCACTTCGTCCCGGGCCTTTCTAGTTTCATCCAATTATTGTTCATTTTTTCTCATGTCTATCTCCATTTCTCGGCGTAATGTGTTCTTTCGTCTTCCTCTTCTCCTTTGGCCCTGAGGATTCCAAATGGAGGCTTTCCTTGTGATACAGTTGGCTGCTTCCCTCAATATGTGTCCTATCCACTTCTAACGCTTCTTCCTGATTTCTTTCTTCACTGGGATCTGGTTTGTTCTCTCCCACAGTAGGTTGTTGCTGTACTGTACTATACTTGTAAATCCTTTGATGTGAGGCATGACTAGATTTTGTTTAAATGTTTCAATCTCTCGGTGAATGATGGACGCGTATTTTTGTCCTTTTAAGATTGCTAAATACTTATTACATGCTATTTGAATAGGCATTTTATATAAAAGATAAAATATTGAATTTTACATGGAGAAAGTTTAAATCCTCTATAGAAATCTAGTACGTAAACATATAATCAAAATATACTGTACAGTACAAGTTGTTTCACTTAAAGACATTTTCCATTTGTTTATGTTCAGGTGAATTCAACTTCTTGTGTCGAATGAAAACAGATATTAAGATCTAATGGAATATGGGGAAAACCTTGGAAGTAGTAATCAAAATGTCAATTGTTTACTGATTCTCAGTTATACTCTAAATAATATTATTTTATAGAGAAAATTATCCTTCGAATGAATTACTTTTTTACAAAACTCTTTGCTTTGGTTGAAAACTTAAATAGATTAAAATGTATATGGGATTAAAAACTATGAGATACTATAAGTTGGTTCATTTGTTTCACAGGGGATAATTTGGATATTTGACAACAGAAATCACAAGCTAATAAGTTGCAAAATTATTTTTACATCTTGAATTAAGCTTCCGATTTTATTTTCATAGTAAACATTGCATGTCTCAGTAGGCTACAATCTGTGACCTGAAACATCCTTTATCTGTTCCATTTGGATACAGATTTGTCAGCAAATGTCAAGATCAACATGGCTCATTAATAGTTAATTATGAATCTTATAGGATCTTAATGTTACACGAAATAAGAAATATTAATCTACAATAATTAATAGCATTTAAATGGAACGAATCAAGTCTACTATAAAACGTACTAGTAGGTTAAGTAGAAGTAATTTCCCGTCTGTTTTGAATTGATCATATTCGCATGAAATAGTCTTCAATTGAATTCTTTCATGTTTCTACTTGAATTTATGCAAGCGGAACTATCTTAGAATTGACGCAAATCTAATTATGGATCGTAAATAACCATTAAGTGATATTTCAGCCTTTATGTTACTTATCGTTATTCTAATCCCTAACCCTTTGGACCACAGGTTCACTATACTGTTTGTGATTCATCGATTTATCCAACCTTTATTCAGGAACATCCCTAATTTCAGCTCCCTTTTTTATTTATGTTATTTTCGATATTATATTACTTAAAAGTTTGATGATCCTGGATGAGCACAGCTAAGGAGTCCCGTACTAGGATAAAATGTCCGTCCAGTACTCCCAGGTTTTCAACGGTGGTCTAACATCATTTCAATAAAATGTAACAATCTCCACAATTATAAATTGAAAATAAAAGATTTGTTTGACTGATATCTTCAATGGAACAGTGTCACTTGAAAATCTATCTACTGTGTGAAAGTATAAGAAGTATAAAGATAAAAATAATTCATTATTGCACATAAAATGAGTTTTTCCACTATTAGTTATTTGATTTCTCGTAGTCACAATATATTTCTGACGATGCTGGTGTCGCTACAAATGAAGGATAAGATTATAGTTTGCTTGAAACTATGGTTATCAGAGCATCAGTCATAAATGTTCAAATTTAATGAAAACTTTTTTTTAAGATAACAGAATTCTTCACTTTCAAAACTGTTAGTTTTACATCTTTGAACATCATAAGACTTTTCATAATGTAAAGACATGATTTTTAAACATGAGTTGACAAATACAAATCTATACCGAAGCCAATCTTTATGTCACGCACTGAAAATACGAGATATACTAACACTTCACTAACTATTGAAATAGTTTTTTTAAATATCTTTGAATCTTCCTGTAGGAGTATTGATCTTACAAGTTAATAATCAGTTATGAGCAATAATTAGTCATGAAATCGATAGACACAAAGGGAATAATTAACTTAATTAGTAGGTGTATAAAGGTGAATTGAAAGGGTAACTGATGATAGAAATATTAACCTGAAATATGAAGTATTAACTAACGATGATGAAAATTGATTCAAGTAACAGATGCAATACAGATAGCGGAGATATCGAAGTTTTTTTCGATCACGTGATAAGAAGGACAGCAAAATCGGCCCACCAGCTTAACGAAAGTTAGAGAAATGAATGTAATGTTAAAAGAGGGATGTGAACAACATATCCTTATTGTCTGATTTTAAGTCTCAAACATTGTTGATAAGGATCACAATTTACACTATGTGGAATACTGGTTAAATCAAATATAGTTTCATCATATTGCCGTCATTCGATGATTCTTGTTTATAAATTCGAATAGTGAAATAAGATGAAGATTGTCAGGACTGTGATATATTAATGCAATGCATTTCGAATGATTCGATCACATATATATTTGTTAAGAACATTTATATATAAAAGCAAAAGGTCAAATAAGCTAATAGAAGGTAAGGGAAACAGCGATAATAAACAGAATGATGTGCAAGGCAGTGTGAAACTCAACACGCTGTATAATCAAATATTACCAGAGTAGGCTTCGGGTGAGAACAAGCCATCTTTGAATACACAAGGAGGTTTTGAATTTTCATATGGCTGAGGCTTCAATAAACTTTGGTATATGCTCTGAGTTAAGATCAATCTAATGCCCCATTTCAACTTTGTTTTTGGCACTAGATCCTCTCCTGGAGCCCCACTGGGGCTACTGCCAGTCCAAGCCGGATAAAGGAGGAGGGTTGGGTATGGGGTTAGCGATCCCATCCTGTAGAAAACTAACTCGCTAAAAAAACGCTAACCGGAAAAAATTATTCATACCATCTAAACTCTACCCTAGGAGTTAAAAGGTTTTCATTTAAAAGAGTTATGACGCCTCATGATGAAAGCCGAGTTCCTTCGGAAGTCACGAGTCCGATGCCTCTTATGACAACCAGAGAAATCATTAGTTTAGGTACATGAAATACTCGTACAACAATGTGGGAGAGCGGAAGAGTCTTCCAAATTGCTGCTCTTTGGCACTAGAAGACGATGGATATTTATCATCTACTCTTATTGGATCATTTTATTTCATTTGTTTTCTCAACCATCCAGTTACATGTTCAGAAACCCTAATTTGTAGATCAAGATTCCTCCCCCTTATGTATGTGTGACAACACACATAATGGGATGTGACACAATAATTTACATGCCTTTTTGATGAAGCAGAGAACTTGTTTTTTCCCTGATAATGACCTTTTCTGGGTAGTACACTTTACAAATAACTGACATGAGTCTTTGTTTCAACAAAAGGCTATTTGACTCACCTCTGAACAGTAGAGTAATGTAAACAGGCTTTTTCTGTGCCAAAGATGTAATGGGCCTCACTACACTTTGACCCTTTTATTTATTTACCAACTTCAGGGGATAGCCTTTTTCTATTAATATTTGTTTAACAACCTGATTTAATCATCAGTAGCATCGTTTGTGCAAATATGATCAATCCTATTAAATGGGCCCCTTATCAAACCCTGTTTGTTTTGAACTTGGCAGTAACTATGATAATAGAGGTACTAGTCTGTTCAAGATAGCATTCTAAAGGTTGATCATTTAACTGGACTCACTTCTCTTCGACTTATAAGTATATCTAAGAAAGGAAGTCAATTTTATTCAATAAACAATTCGTACTCTCGTTTTTTCGCAAACAACTAAGATGCCATCCAAATATTTCTTATAAAAAGACATGTTTTTGATTAGATTTTCAGTTAGATTTTCAATATGAGAAAAATACATCAGCTAATACTGGTCCCAACGGACTATCTATACCAATCCCATCGAACTGAGGAAGGTATTCACCTTCAAATGTGAACCGGACTTTATCAATACATGAAAGTAACAAATCTTTGAGAATTTTTAGAGGAATAGGTAATCCAAGGTTGTTCAAAGATATATAGTCACATGAAATATCAATTGTCTTTATTAAAGATAAAGTTGTGAACAGGGAATTAAAGTCGAATGAACAAATTGTCTTTTCCTTGGTATTAATGTCACCTGAACAATCGACTAACTGAAAAGAATTCTTCAGAAAATATTTACATTAACTCCTTTGGATTATTTAGGTGAACTATCCATGATATAACTCGGAGATACACTTTAAAAACTCTGGAGAATATAATCACTTGAGCACAGTAATAGTCTTTGTACGCTGGAATATTTCATACCTCAGTCATTTTTAAGTGTGCTTAACCCACTAACGAACAGTC